AGAAAATTGTGTTCCGTCTGATTTACACAAAGCACGCGCTCCTTTGGTTTGGATAACTTGTGTTTCGTCTTTTTCATAAAGTATTTTTTCCTTTGTAAATGTTAATATTACTAGAAATAAAATTGGTTCTGTATTCAGTCAAATCTATCAAAACGACCATTAGGAAAAAATATTAAAAACATCGTTGATATCATTGTTAAAGAATCTACTCATGCAGGTAGGTTTTCTATTGGTCTGTTTTTTTAAGTTCCGAAATAAAATAACATTTTTTTCAATACAATTATTGTAACATTGTAAAACATTTGATATTATATGTTAATAGCTTCACACTTTCTTATTCAACGTATTAAAATGCATACACAAAAAAATAATTCCTTGGAAAGCTTAAAACTTTGTAGAATGTTATTCTCGTGCGCACGTTTTAGATAAGGTTACCAGAAAGCTAGAAGAAGAGACAGGGTATTTTTTCAGTATCATGATTAAGTTTGTTTTCTTTTGATCTACCGCCAGACAAGCCTTTAATCATAAATGACATGATGACAGTAGGAGCTACTTAGGCTGTTATTAATAGCACTTTTTATTTTGTTTCAGGAGTCCCGTCAAAATGTGAAGGGAGAGAAAAAATTACTACGCCATTCTGTCGACCTGAAAACGGTTTGAGAGGGAAAAAAGAAGGCAATTTTTTCAAACAACCCGTTTCAAAAAAAATATAAGGAAAGCAAAAGGGAGTCCGGTGCTTTTTAAGCGTTATATGAGGTGACAGTCGGTGCTATGCCATGTTACGGTGGACATTATATAGACTAGATGAAACCAATACTCTGAGTCAGGAATAATATGAGACAAACTTAAACTTAAAAAAATGGCGGGAAATTGGCCTTCGTTATGAATTATGAAACAAATTACTGATAAGGACGCGTAGACTGATCTAGTATCTTCAAAATCAAGTTTTGAGTTTATAAATATGTCGACCTTTTTTATTAAAACAAAATCATTTTAATGTATAATCAACGCTGGTTATTTCACATAATAAAATATAGATAGGAAATTACAGTGGCATTTATCAGCACTGTAGGCCTGTAAACTGTTTCAAGAATTTCATGTACATGTACATGTATATAATTTGGTGGCAGCGCCCTGTAGGGTTTATTCTTCAATTATATGATCTATGCGGAACATCTGATCAAAGTTGTCTCTCTTTCCATCATTAAATGAACGATGTGGGGCACATACTTTAGTAACGTATCGAAACATTTTATCGTCTATTTCATTAGATTTTCTACACTTCATTCAATTATTCTATGCGGGTTCTGGTTAACATATATTACCAGGCAAACTGTTTTTCTAGCATTTACCGACCAACGTAATTCTCGACATATACATTTCCTACATAAATAAACTTCAGTATATACAAAATTTGATAACGTTTCAGCACCTGTATGATTTACAAAGTAGAATTTGATTTTAACCAGTCGCACAACATCCTGGCACTTTTCAACGAAAGACTTGAGTTCCAGAACTACTTTTTCGGTACTACTTTTTGAAGTCCAGGAGTTTCGTGAAATGGCTCTTGTGTTTGATTAGTCTGTAACTAAGTGGATGAATTTAAATGTCGGGAAACATCATTCAGATTAAGTGCCGAATTTAAGTGTTACATGGCTGTGTATGTATAATATCTTATGTAAGTAAGTGTGTGTGTGTTACAGGTCCTGGCTTCTATAGAAAATAGGAACCAGAAACAGTACAAGTCAAACGAATGACGGATATTTTTCCGGTGTAATAATGGCCTTGAATATTACAAAAATAACTTCCAAATAACGAGAGATTTTACTTTTTGACGAGCACAACTTTTTTGGAAAAAAACCACTAAATTTTGAGAAGTTGAACCTATCCGTGTATTACTGAAAGAACTACAAAATCATCTTTATATCGTTATGAAAGACCATTCGGGACCATGTTTTTTTTATTATAGCAATAGTTAAATAAAGACAACAATTTAAAACTTTAATCCATCTTTTAATTCCGATTTCAATTTTGATCAAGCATCGTCTTGATACATCACTATGTAAGATTTATATTGTTTTATTCTTAATAATATTGACATACATTTGTATTCAACGTACTATCAATGAAATAGAGTAGATCGTTGCGGGTCTTTAATAAATCAAAATAGTGGATCAAATTTTAATCTCTATTCATAAACATATTTGATACTTTTTCACAACTTCGTGAAAAGGACGGTGGAAGGCTGTCGGGTACTTTGTCGTTTAATTTTCGGAGTACCACAAGGATTTTCTTTATTCATGTTATATTTCAATGTAAAGTTTTGAAGAGTCAGATTTCTTTATCGGTTTTGTGTAACATATTTACTACAGCTCAAATGCGAGAAGAGGGAAAAAGGTCTTTATTTGGGAAAAGGACAATTTCGTTGTTTTTGATCACTTGGATTATCGATCTATCTTCTTTCATTTTTGAAATATATATAAATTTAGGAAATGTTCAGTTACAATATTTTTCTTTACATACTACAGGCCACATTTAAACTTACAACCAGTTTTGTCCATTTAACATAGTTATAATGTTCGTTAAAGATAATATTTCACAGTGACAGTTGATATAATATTTTTTTTATATAAATGATGAATATTATGCACTCATTCGGTGAGATGGATTTTATTTCACTGGTAAGCATAGAATAATAAACGATAACGCGATCAACCTGTGCATAGCAATTATTACCTCCCCTGGTTGCCATTTTGGGGGTCAGTAACAATACATCATCTTCGTGAAAACTGATAAAAATCTTTACCATACTGGTGCTGTAATAATATTTCGTTGCGCATGTATAAAAGTATTTGACAATTCACGTAAATCAGCTGTTTATATGTTTTTTTTCATATTTTAGCAAAATGGCAGCCATTTTTTGGCAATGGAGGTAAATATTGTAAAAATCGGTAACTATAATTTTATACAAAATAAGGTTTCCTTAGCGTTCGTTATCATTGTACAAGCCCTAATATTTAACATAATGTTCTCTTCAGTCATATACTGCTTTTGTGGAAATAGTTTGTTCTTTTTTACATTTTTAAATCTATTTGAACTTTTTGTTAACTGGGGACTTCAGTTACAGTCTAATCTACATCTGAACAGATTTGACTACTGTTACGTTTTTAATGTGCATGAATTTTAATTGTTAAACCCAACACAGTTGATCAATAGCTGTCAATTCATTTAAATGGTGTAGTTTTTTTCTAAATGTAACAAGAAAAGACACGAAATATATATACAAATAAAATATCAGATATAACTCTTGAAATTTACACCCACGCATAAAAATAAAAAATAGTCTTGCGTATGAAAGAATATTTCCTAGCGTGTTTTTTTTTCCTTTAAATTTTTAAACTATTTTTAATGAAGTGCATCGGTAGAATTGAGCTATGCAAGCGTATGAAACTGAAAAATCTCAGATAAAAAGGAAACATTTCTCCAGATTTGGGCTTTAATACAGGATATATGGTGTCACATAATAGGTTAGCGGGTGGGCGAACATATTTCCTCGCTCTGCAGCTATCTTCCGCTCACGTTTTGACATGGTATGAAAGAAATCATGTCAACGAAACGAGCTAACGTGCATATAAATGAGCAAGCTGGTACGGTCGAAATCCCCGTATGAAAAGAGAATTATTATTTCGGTATGTACGCGATTCATGTTATTGTTCGACCACTTGGACGAAATAAATTCTATTGAATTTTGGGCAGAGTCTACTTGAATTATTAACTGCTGAAATCATTGGAATGAAGTTGGAATATTTTATGAAACGCCAGTCAAGCGGCGTGATATTTGTACAAAGGTTACTAGGGTGAAATAGCGAAATCTTGGAGGTGGACCTTGGACATATTGACCGTAAAAATACACAAGGTATTCCGAGTACCTGATGTCGCCGGGTCGTCTGCTACACAAAATCGTTTAAAAGAGTTTAAATACGTAAAAAAGTTTTCACCTTTGCCTGTACAAAGTAGCTATGACAATTCTGTCATATTATTCAAACCATGTTTCAATGGAAGCAGATCTTATAACGTAGCTATCTTACATGTCAAACTGGACATTGATTGCAAATGATTGGACAATATTAATACACCTTTTATTTATTTGAATAATTTAAGTAAACAAGTAATAATTTAAATGAAATCTGTATGCCATCCTTGAAACTTTAACATTGTTAAGATGTCTGACATTATTTTACTAGCAGTTTCAGACATTTTTGCGTCATTTAACATAAATCCTTTCTTCCTATATCTTCTGTAAGTTGAAAAGTTATATAGACATGTGTTTTCATGACATACTTTTATAGTACAATTTCAAGAATCACGATTCCTCGGTCTCATGTGCAACACGCATAAACATTTAACCAAAGCTATAAGGTGCAAGCTTTATTGCCCGAAAGATTAATAATTCACACAAAGTTCAATTAAATACGAGAAAGGTATGTTATAGTCACAAGAAGTGTCAGGACAAAGTTGTCACACGTGGAAGGTTTTAAGCTCTATTGTTAATCAATACATTTGTTATTTACTTCGTCGTCATACTAAATACTGTGGCATGATTCAAATGGATACTTTTTGTCAGTTCGGTTTTTTAACATGAAAATGGTCTGTTAGTGTGGAACATTAAAGCGATTTAATCATTCCAAAATTATCCTTATCTGCTAAAATATTATATATCCTTATTGCTTTATAAATGTAAAAGCAAAACTACATAGCGATTTTTTGAAAAGTGAAACATGATCATTTTTCGAAAATTTACAAAAGGAATAGCTAGTCCAGGCTCCTACAAATAATGTAGGAATTAGCTTAATCTTTTGATCCTTCTCCTATCAGAAATATTTCATATAAATCATCACTGAATAGAAACTATATATAAGTATTCTCCTGGTAGAAACTTATATTGCAACATGAACGAGAAACATTTTGATTTAATGATGTGATTAACAAATGTTTCTTACCTGAATAACACGCATGTTTAGACCCGTTTCCGCTGCCAGTTGCTCTCGGATATGACGTGTTGGCTTCGGAGTTGCGTTGAAGGAGGCCTTCAGCACTTCCAGCTGTTTGGCTTTAATAGTTGTGCGAGGGCCTCGTCGTTTATTCCCAGACTTTCCGTTACTCTCGCCATCTTTGTTGTTGTTAGTATCATTATTTTCTTGACTAGAACAGTTACTACCCGGATTATGGTCGGGTATTTGCGAGTCCTGTCCAGCAGGGCTCAAACAGGAGTCCGATAACTGGTCCCGATGCTCGTCTCTGAGACCCATGTTATCCGAATTTAGATGACAATCCGATAAGCTGTTAGTATCTGACTTAGAATCCGTTGATGTTTTTGAAATTGAAAGATTTAATCCTAAATGAGACCCTACTAAATGATTTGTTTGGTCTGTTGCTTGTATGTTAAGAGTTTGACTAATGTCACTTATTTGACCATTTAAAGAACCATGTTCAGAAGTTGCGTTAAATAAGTCTTGATCGTTCGATTGAGGTTCGTCTTGCGTTCCAAATTCGCCATCTTGCATGGACTGGTCTAAAACACTTTCAAAATCGCCATCGTCCTCTACATCAGAACCTGAAATCAAAACAGTATTAAATAAAAGTTGTTGGTGTAATATTTAATGAAAATGGCGTTGTCTCAGCGGACAGTAAGTAGGCAAGTATTTGTACTTTAGTGTTATCTATGCTGTTATCTGATGTCAATTGATTTCAGTTACATAACAGATAAACAGAGAATCCCGAAATAGCTCGCGTAGAAAACATTAATAAATGTTGATGATCATTTGTCAATATGCTTTACTTAGAATGATACTCAAATTTCATTTACAATTCAGCGTTGCAGACCGAAAAAAAAACATTTTTTACAAATATTGACAGTCTTGTTTAGAAAAACAAAACCGTTAGATTTGTATACCCATTAAAATAAATTTTATTAGTCCCTTGCCTAGAGTAAAAATGATTAAAAGCCAAAGGCCAGCATGTTATTTATATTTACATTACACGCTTCCGTAGAAAGCTATTGCAACCTATTTAATTACTAGATAATCTTGTTTGTTCTCTAATGCAATTTGTATTTATTGAATATGCTGTTTAAATATTTGCTCTAAATCAACTACAAGTGTTTGTTCTGCGTTGACAATAATGTGTCAAAAACATTGAAACAAACAATGCCGGGCTCCAGCGGTTGAATTTCGATCTACCTTTGTTATTACCGTTTAATCACTTCAACAACGACGATCAATTGCTATTAAGCAAGAAATTTCTATTGTCCACAAGGGGTATTTAAACAATTAATGACATTGTCGCAGTGTTATGCACGATATGTATGTCTATAAAAAGATATACTCTTACAATCAATACGTCTGACAGTAGCTAAGTGAAGGTGTTTATTGTAAATTGATCAAAAACTCCCAATAGGTGTTTATTGGGATTTGAACACGCCATTTAAGTATAATTTTTATACGTATTTGCGTCATACAATGATAAAATCTAATAATGTCTACCAGCAACAGTTACTAGAAGACTTGCACAATATGGTAGTTCATTGCTTATAATATATTTTCAGGATATACAAAATGATTTAGGGACAATAATTGATGCTGATATTACTCATGTCAATACAATTCCTGATTAATTTGTATATATATTCTTTCTTTGGTTCTAAAAGTGAAAGAGCCTTATATACAAACAGTTAAATCGTTCAATACCAGTTCGTTACAATATAAATTTTCCTGTCTGATGCATAAGTAAGTCACAGAAATAGAGATGAATTAAAAATTAAATATTTAAAAATCTTTTTCTCAGAAACTATAACGCCTAGAGCTTAGATACTTGGCATCACCTTATGGTCCTGTACAAAAGTTATACGAATCATGCCCCTGATGGCAAAAATTGGTTTTTGTCCTTGGGTCACTTAGCTTGTATAAGAAATACATTTTACTTTTCTTTGGTGAAACTCCAAGGTCAAGAACTTAGATATTTGTCACGAAGCATTTTGTAGCAGACATCAACACTTATTTTAAAATTTAAGCAGCTTGGGCAAAACATGACAAACCAAATATGACCCCAATTCTGACTTTAACATATACAAATTGTGACTTTTTTATAGCCAAGAATCTCAGGTGAGCGATCCAGGGCCATCATGGCCCTCGAATCTTGTCTGTAATTTAGCGAAATGGTTTTCTTTTGCATTAATTGTCTTATAATTTAACAGTGTGTTTGTCGTTGTGCCATCTTAATTTAACAATGTCTTCATTGCATTGTTTGAACAAAAAAGCGTATTTGTAATTGTATTAACATATACATGTAATATTATAGTTATAATGTGTAATGCCCATTGTATTGTCTGGTAATTAACAAGTATGTTTTATAAATGGCATTGATCGTCTTGTTATTAAAAAGTATGTTTTATCTATTGCATTTATTGTCTTGCTATTGAAAAGCATGGTTTGCCCATTGCAATTATTGTCTTGTTATAGGACAGTGTGTTTTACCCATTGCATTGATTGTCTTGTTAAAGAACAGTATGTTTTACCCATTGCATTTATTGTTTTGTTATTAAACAGTATGTTTTATCTATTGCATTTATTGTTTTGTTATTAAACAGTATGTTTTACCCATTGCATTTATTGTCTTGTTAAAGAACAGTATGTTTTATCTTTTGCATTTATTGTTTTGTTATTAAACAGTATGTTTTACCCATTGCATTGATTGTCTTGTTATTAAACAGTATGTTTTATCTATTGCATTTATTGTTTTGTTATTAAACAGTATGTTTTACTCATTGCATTTATTGTCTTGTTAAAGAACAGTATGTTTTATCTATTGCATTTATTGCTTTGTTATTAAACAGTATGTTTTACCCATTGCATTTATTGTCTTGTTAAAGAACAGTATGTTTTATCTATTGCATTTATTGTTTTGTTATTAAACAGTATGTTTTACCCATTGCATTTATTGTCTTGTTAAAGGACAGTATGTTTTATCTATTGCATTTATTGCTTTGTTATTAAACAGTGTGTGTTTAACCATTGCATTTATTGTCTTGTTATTAAACAGTATGTTTTATCTATTGCATTTATTGTTTTGTTATTAAACAGTATGTTTTACCCGTCTTGTTATTAAACAGTATGTTTTATCTATTGCATTTATTGTTTTGTTATTAAACAGTATGTTTTACCCGTCTTGTTATTAAACAGTATGTTTTATCTATTGCATTTATTGTTTTGTTATTAAACAGTATGTTTTACCCGTCTTGTTATTAAACAGTATGTTTTATCTATTGCATTTATTGTTTTGTTATTAAACAGTATGTTTTACCCATTGCATTTATTGTCTTGTTAAAGAACAGTGTGTTTTACCCATTGCATTTATTGTCTTGTTATTAAACAGTATGTTTTATCTATTGCATTTATTGTTTTGTTATAAAACAGTATGTTTTACCCATTGCATTTATTGCTTTGTTATTAAACAGTGTGTGTTTAACCATTGCATTTATTGTTTTGCTATTAAACAGTATGTTTTACCCATTGCACTTATTTTTTGTTATTAAAGAGTGTGTTCTACATATGGCGTAAATCATCTTATCATTAAACAGTGTTTTACTAATTTCATTAATTACTTGTTACAGTATTTAACAATGTGGTTTGCCCATTATAGTGTCTTAAGTATACTTCAGCAATTATATTCTCTGTAAATGAACAGGGTGTTTTGCCCAAGTGCATTGTCTTGTTATGAAACATTGTGTTTTGCCAGTTGCATTGTCTGTGTTTTACCCATTGTATAAACGTGTTATTTATGTTTTTGTTATGCCTATTGCATTATTTGTCTTGCAATTGAATAATGTGTTTTATCCATAATTGTGTCTTTTTCTTCTACAGTATGTTTTGCCCATTGCAAGAATCGTCTTGGAATTTTCCAGGATTTTGCCTATTACATTGCCTTGTAATTTAACAGTGTGTTTTACCAGTTGAATTGATAATCTTGGAATTTTTTAGTTTCGTGAGACTCAATCAAACCTGGTCTGAAATTTTCATAAATTATTGATGTTTCATTGTTTCCATGGGATTACATTCTACTGAGTGCTTAACCTGTTGTATTGCGATGTAATTTTTATGCAACAGTTTATTTTCACTTATTGCATTGTCATATAATTCTATATTATAATTGTCTTTAACAGTGTGTTTTGTCCATTTTTTATTTATTCTATTTATTGCCTTTCTGTATTTTTCAATGTGTGTTATCCGTTTTTCTATGTAACTTAACAACATGTTTTACACATTGCATTGCCTTTTATTAACCTTTTGTAATTTAACATTGTTTTACCCATTACATTGACTTGTAATTTAGCAGTGCATTGTCTGTATTAATTAAACAGTGTGTTTTGTCCGTTTCAGTCTCAGTGTTGATATATGTATGGATGACAGAACTTATCAGAATTTTTGTAAAACAACAACATTCATCTAAATACATCAAGCTCAATGACTCACAGGTATCGGATGACGTATCGGATGACGTATCGGATGACGTAACAATCTTGTACCTCATGTGAAAATCTTGACATTTTGCCTTTGTCAACATTCTTCAGCACTTACTTATGTTTTGCTAGTAAAACAATACATTCCACCGAATTTCACGACAACAATATAAACCACCAAGTCAAACGCTTTAAAGCATCTCTCTCATCCATTAATTGTGTATTTAATAGCACTCAATCAGTTGTTTTAACAATTTCACATTTCTCACAATCTAAAAAAACAAATTTAGTGTACATATTTTTAAAATATCAAACTCTATAAGATACATTTATTTTCAAGTGCAGCCTTGTTATAGTTTTCTTGTTTCGTATTATAATGCGTGTTTAAGTTTGCCTAAAACATTTCATAATTGTATCAGTACACGACTATTTTGTTTTACTTTGATGAACATGTGATTCACTACGAAAAGAATAGTCCATACTAAAACATTTTCAGGAATGAAAAATTCTTAAAAGGATTTAGATCAGCTTTGAGTATAATTAATTAGACTATTAAACATTTTTCACATAATCTCATACTTCTGCCCAACATAAATTTCCTTTATTTTATCTGAAGAAGGTGCTTTAAAGCAACATCACAAATCGGGTATAACGTTCCAAAACAAACAATACTAGCTCTACTTACATCAACACTAAATTCACCGAAGATTAATTAGTTTCGTATTCAATATGGCGGATCTCCGAGTAAATCACGCAGATCAAGTGTTTCCTGATTGTTTCCTAAACGTTTCGATCGCCACTGGTATGAAAATTATGATAAATGGCCTTCTAAGAACAATTAATTGACCTTTTTGCACATTCTCCTAATACTTTAAGTGTGCGCAATTTATCATGAATGTAAATAGAGTTGACATTCCGAGAGTTGCTGGATTGTCGTCTGCAAACAAATAGAAAAGGAAAACGGTGACAGTAACAAGACGACACTGTCAACTTCTGTTTCACTTGTATTTGTCATAAAATTCAGGTGATAATGATTTAAATGCAAGCTAATAAATACAGCGATGTTTTTGAAATAAGTATATGCTTACGATTCGTGTTTT